TTGTCATTGGGATCAGCGTAGATTTGTTCTGCTCTAACCAGACTTAAGCAGCTAGATGGATGACTAGAAAGAAATTATGATCAGATCAAGATTTGGACAGTAGGAAGGTGGTCTGAATTTAGAGCATACCCTCCAAACCTGTGATGTGTTAGAGATGTAGGCTGGTCCAGCAGTATGTTGAAGTGTGAAGAATCCTGGGGAGAAAAGGGGTCTGAAGATCTGAGATGCTGACCTAGCTTGGCCCCTTCCGGAAAATGGATGGCCATGGTCAAAGATGGAACTTATTCTTCAGAACACTGCACTGTGACTTGCCTGCCATCAGTCAGACAGCATGTATTCAGTAGAAATAACCAAATATTTTTGTTCCCTTCATAGAGTATGACATGAAGCAAACATGAAATCAGCTGCATGTAGACTATAGCAAGACACTGCTCATATAGTTCACCCAAAAGAGGTAAACTAGGATAAGACCAGTTAACGATTTGGAAAAGGGAACACTTGCATACGGTTGGTGGAAATGTCAATTAGTCTAGTCATTATGGAAACCAGTATGGAGGTCCCTAGTAAATTAAAAATAAAATTGTCCAGCAATTCCAACACTGGGTAAATATCCAAAGGATATCAAATTATTATCCTGAAGCAATATCTGCACTCCCATGTCCATTTCAGCACTTTTTATAATAGCCAAGAAATGGAATCAACCTGTTTATCTGCTGATGAATGGATGAAGAAAATTTGATACATATGTGCAATGGAATAGTGTCCAGCCATGAAAATAATAAAATCCTATCATTTGCAACACATGGATGGAACTGCATATCATTGTGTTAAGAGAAATAAGCCAATCACAAAAAATAAGTACTGCATGATCTCACTCATATATGGAATTAACTATCAAAATAGTCAATCTCATAGAAGTTGAAAGTACAGTGGTGGTTGCCAGAGACTGAAGAGAGGAAGGGAGTGATAGCAATGGGGAGAATTTGATCAATGGGTACAAAGTTTAGTTAGGAGTAAGAATTTCCAATGTGCTGTCACACAAAAGGAAAACTATAGATAACAACAATGTATTATTCATTTCAAAACACTAGAAGAAAAAAATTTGACTCTTTTCACCAGAAATAAAAGCTAAATATTTGGCATAATGTTTATTTTGATTTAAACATTAAGCCTGTATACATGCATCACAATATCATGTGGAGACCAGGGTTGTAGCTCCTTGTAGAACTCTTACCTGCCATAAAGAAGGCCCTGGGTTCTACCCCTAACACTGCAAAAACAAAGAAAACTACATTGTACCTTTGCTACCTAAGTATGTACAGTTTCATGTTTTTATATCTCAGTTAAAATAAATTAAAATTTTAAAATAACAAATGTTGGCAGGGTTGTGGGGAGAAAGGAACCCTTCTCCATTGTTGGTGGGAGTGCAGACTGGTGCAACCACTATGGAAATCAATATGGAGACACCTCAAAGAACTAGGAGTAGAGGTTCCATTTGATCCAGCCATCCCTCTGCTGGGTATCTGTCCAAAAGCATTAAAAGAATCATAGCACAGTGATATATGCACACCTATGTTTATAGCAGCACAGTTTGTAATAGCTAAAACTTGGAAACAGCCCATTTGCCCATCAGTTGGAGACTAGATAAAGAAGATGTGGTTTTTCTATAAAATGTAATACTATGCAGCCATAAAGAATGAGAAATTAGAGTCATTCATAGGAAAATGGATGCATATTGAGGATATAATCCTAAGTGAAATAAATAAGTCATACATGTATAAATACCAAACATTTTCTCTGGTGTGAAAACCTATAATGGTACATAAGAGCCTAATGATATAATTGACAATGTGAAATGGGAAGAAAAGGGATAAAGGTGTAGGGGAAATGGGAAGGGTAGGGGAAAGGAAAAAAGTGAAAAGAAAAAAATATGAGAAAATGAAAAAATGGAAATAAGGTATTTGTAAATAGGGAAGGGAGGAGAGGGTGAAGGGAGGGCAGGGGTATGGGGGAAAAATGAGAACTAAGATCTGTCATGTAAAGGTACCAGATCCCAATAATGAATGTAACTGTACTATATACCTAAAATGTACCAATAGACTCAATGAGAAAAAAAAAATGCTTGGGTAGTACAACAGTCAGTCAGTTTTTCCACTCCATTTTTTTCTCTATTTGAAGGCTCCAAAACCATTGACAATCTTCTGTTGAAGGTCTTTACTCACTGATCTGTTTCTTAGTCCCACTGACTGGAAACCAGAAAGATGTCACAGGAGCCCAGAGCTTTGGTTTCTTGGCAAGGGTAAACACAAATGAGTAGACTATGCCTGCCCACGTGGCTGCTTTCACCTTATCAGAAGCAATTTGGCAGAAGTACTGCAAATAGCAGTGAGGAGGTGATACCAAGTACAGTATGCCGGCATCTGCAGGTGTCTCAGGGGGTGAAGCATCATGGCTTTTCCCAAGAACTGCAAGTGTCAGTGGTCAGGAGTGAGCCACTCTCATCACTTCTTAGCCTAGTATCCCTGTGAGCTCCATGCAGCCACCACTCTCCAGAAGCTTTTCCATACTCATCCCCTAAACCTCTTACTCCCTGTGGTGGTAGCTGACTTTCAAGAGAAGACATCAAAACAAACACTACTGTGCCAAAGATGAGGCTGCCTGCCTCTGTTATCCACTTTCAAAGCAAGTTCATTGTCCCCAAGGTGGCATCGGAGCCTGTGCCACTGGCTTTAAGGGCCACCCTGGGACAGTCTGATACATGGGCAAACCATTAAGTTGATCACCAAACAGCACTTTAGGGAGTTAACTGTAGGAATAGTTAACACACTTGAAAACACAAGAAAAACTGCTGCTTTTAGTGAAGATTGAAAATATGTCACCAACAGCAAAGTGATTATTATTTCTAGGCAGAGGTCAATTTGATATGCAGTCATCCCTTGGTGTCCATGGGAGATTAGTCCCAGGACTCCCCCCAGATACCAGTCTGTGGATGCTCCTGTGCCTTATATAATAAGGACAGTGTCTAAGAAGCAATAATTTCACACTCTTCTATTCTAGTAAATCACAGTTACTTAAGATAGGTCCCAATGTGAGGTCACATTAAAACCTTTAATGACTTGTTAAGAGAGGGAGATTTAATTAAAATTAACAGGCATTGCTAGGATAGAATGCCCAACGCCCACAACCTAAAGGAGGAGAAGTTTAATTTAGTTCACAATTTCATTATCAGGAGATCCAGTACATGGTCAGCCAGCTCCAACGCAGGAACATCATGATGAAAGGGCATGGTGGAGCTTAAGAACTTGGTTTGTTGTGGTAGAGAAACAGAGCAGAGGAGCAGCGCTGGAGAGGAAGGGTTGAAGGAACAGGCAGGTCATGCCTCCGTGACACACCCAGATACACTATCAAGATTAACCATTAAATTAAGTCAAGATCACCATTAATTAATAATCAGACATATTTAGATCCATAAATAACTATTTTCCTTAAAAGATGTGGCCACTTGTATATTCAAAAGCCCATTACTATTATGTCTCTGTATATCGGATACTGAAGAGGCTAACATTTTCTGATATTTTGGAGAGGGAGAAAAAATGACAAGAGAAAAAAAAACATTTGAAATATTAAATATGATTCCTGATCACGATGGTCAGTCTTCATGTTATGTCCTCTAGGGCAACCTGCTTAAGGAAAGAAAGAATATGCCTTTAGGATGTAAGTCCATGGCCAATCACAGAGATTCTCTTACTACCTGTTGGGAACTCTCTCTCTGAGCCTTACTAGACTGACAGTGGTCCTGAGAAAACACCTGTGCATCTGTGGGTCTTTGACCATGTTGGACTTGTTACCTCTGTGCTTTTTCCTCGGGTCTTACCATTCTTTCAAACATCACCTTCAAAGTTATCTTCCTTAACCACCACCTCCCAAATGAAAACGTCTTAGTCCCAGGCAGAGCTTCTGATTTCTGCAGCCTCTCAGTTTTGCCTGGTGAGAGCTTTGTGAGACAGGGTAAGGAATGTGGGCCTTTTTCTTACTGCAGCGGAGAGTAGTAAGAAGGATCACACCCGTGGTGAACCACCTTACTTCTATGATGGACATTCTCGATACAAATAGGGAAGGATGTGAAGAAGCAGGGTGAGAGTAGAAGATGAGTTGAACTTGACCCTTGGCCACTAAGGTGGTGTCAAGCCACATGGAATATGTCAAAGGGACCTGCCAGGTCATTGGAATTTCTCTTTTCCATTAAATTTATTAATACATTTTAGGCATACAATACAATTACATTCATCAATGGGAACTTGTACCTTTACATGATATATCTTGGTTCTTATTTTTTCCCTGTTCTCCTGCCCCCCTTTCAAACCTTTCTCCCTTCCCTATTTATAGAGACTTTGTTTCCATTTTTTTTTCCTTTTCTCCTGTTTTATTCTTTCCCTTCTTTCCTTTCCCCTACCCCTCCCATTTCCCCTACCCTTTTAGACAGGTCATTGGAATTTAAAATTAGAAATTCCTGGAGCAGAGGTGATGTGGTTTGGGACTTGAAGAAAGAGTCACTAGAGTGGCTGTCAAAAGGGAGGATGGGGCCATGGCAGCATTACACCTTAGTGCCCAGTGGCCAGTTGTGCATTATGTAAATCTACCTTCTGTCGAGATTGACTTCCCATTTGACATTTTCCAAGAGTAATCCCCTATAAGAAAGAAAAGGAAAAAACTCCTATTTCATTCTCTCCAAGCAGGCCTAAAAAATGTTGGAAGCTGGAAGGAATTTGTTGATTTTGCCTGTTAATCTTTTTTGAAGCATAAATCATTGTGCTTAGAACCACATCACGTGGAATAAATAATTCAAAACTTTTTTCCCTCTTCAGTACTCAGAATGACACAGGCAATTCTTTTGTTGTTGCTCTTCATGTACTACTGTAAGAAGCTGTTGTCACATGTGTGCTGAAGGTCTTTTCACCAATGACTGTGTGTGTGGTTTTTTGTTTTGTTTTTTTAAACAGGATACCCGAAGCAGAGGACTGCAGCTCCTAGAAATGGGTTTGTGCCCAAGCCTGACCCGCAGGCCCGCGAGGCTGAGCGGCAGCTGGTCCAGCGGCTGAAAGACAGATGTGAGCGACAGGCCGGGCAGCTCAGCCTTGTGCAAGGGGAGCTGAGAAGGGTCATCTGTGGCTTCGACGCTGTGGCTGTGTCCATGCAGTATTTCTTTAGAAAGGTGAGGCCGTGTTTGGTGAATGCTGAAGGGCTTCTTGTTGGGGGTATTGAGGAGATAACAGTGCTGGTGACAGTGGTTGAGGGTGTGTTATTTGTATTTGGGACTAAGATTGACTTTTAATGTCAGAAGGGGATATGGAATCTCCTGCAGCATCCAGTGATGTTTAGGGAGTTAAATTTAGCCTCATATGTCAACAGAACTGGTCTTGCAAGGATGATGAATAATCTTGATTCCAAAAGAGAAAATTATATAAAAAAGAAAAAAAGGGGTACATGTAAACATTTTTTTAAAATGGGATTTTTGAAGAAAGTTGGACGTGGAATTATTTGCATTTTCTGAAGGAGATGGACATATGCTGAAAAGCCCGCTCATTTCACATGACAGGGAGGCAGAGCCATGGCACTGCTGCTGGGCTACCTGCACAAGTAGAGTGTGCAGGCTTCAGGGGCCCTCCTCAGTGTTCAGAAAGGAGCATGGAGTGGACCAGGGGTCCTCCCTGCAGACTTGGGTCTTTTGAAAATGTGGAGACTATTGGTTTCTTTTTAGTGAATGTCTGGTGGGTTTCTAGGGCCAGGTCTGTTATTAACCATGGAGCAGTAAGCTTCCCAGATTCTCACTAAACAGAGGCTGGTGGCAACCTGATTTCTAACTGCATTTGAGTTCTTACTTTAAGTAGCCAAGTTGTGTTTGGCAGCAAAAATGAACATTTACCTTGGAGATCAATATTATGAATGTCTTAGGCCATTTTTTAAAAATCAGTTCTCACTGTGTAGTTCAGGCTGATTTTGAACTCACTATGTAGCCAAGGCTGGCCTTGAATTAGTGGTAATCCACTTGCCTCAGTCTCCCAAGTGCTGGGATTATGGGCATGCACCACCATGCCTGGCTATTAGTTAGTTCACTTTTTGTTGCTATAGCAAAACATACAAAAATTTATTTCTGAATTATGAAAAAATTTATTTTGGACTCACAGTTCTGGAAGTTGGCAAGTCTAAGAGCATTGACACCAGCACTCACCTGGCTTCTAGTAAAGACCTTGAGCTGCCTCATATTATGGCAGAAAGCAGAAGGGAAACAAGCACATGCAGAGAGGGAAGGGACAGAGGAGCTAAACTGCTTGTGACAACTCACTCTCTCAACAACTAATCTATTCCTATGAAAAATTTTGCAGTCTGGATCCCCTCTCAAGGGCTTTACTTTCCAATCTCACTTCATTGGCAACCAAATTTCAACATAAATTTTGGAGATAATCAAACCAAATCCAGACTATAGCAATGAATGAGGCTTTGGGGTTTTTATATGGACCTTCTGGTATTTATAAGAAAGAAATAGTAGAAATATAATTTAAATGCCCTCTAAATAATAAAGTAAGCTACCTAGAGGCCTAGAAAACTTAAAGAAGTAAAGGCAGATTATTAAGTATCACTATGTCTTCTGGCTTCTTCCTTTATTTATCAACCTTAAAGCACAGAATTTTACAGCTTTTGTTATATCTTGTCCTTTCCTGTTCCAATGTGGAAGGCTGAGCTACTCTTTTCTGTTATCCTTTCTAAAAGCTTTCAGTAAATAGTTATTTATATATTTGTTGTTGTAAGGGATGGTAAGTAAGTTAAATATATAGCACTAAAATTTCAATTTTACTAATAGCTTCAACTTTCTCCCCAACCAAAATTTGAATACCAGCAGTAAATGATGAATTTAGATTTTATATCTTTCTGGTCTACTAATGTTAGTGTCAACTGTGAGTTACTGAAATGGCCATGAGTTAAATGAATTAAATGAACACACACATTTATGAGATGTCAAAGAGGCCTAGCTTCCCTTGATACAGAGCATTTTTGCTTTTAAATAAGGAGTTAGATGGTTTTAGTCCTTCAACTGATTATATTTTTTCCAACGACTGTTAAGTCTATAATAAATATAAAACAGTTTGTTCATTGAAACACTATGATCACATTTATATTGTTACTCTGCCTGCTGTAGGATTCTTCCTTCTAGATATTGTCCACAGAGTACTATTAAATCCTTGATGAAAGTTTCATATGGATGGGTGAATCAGGGGACACCAACATAAGATATTGGTATTATGTATTGTGTTTTATAAGTTGGAGCTTTTGGATACCATTTATGACATTATGGCAAGTAAGAGAGTTATTGTGCCAAAATTAAGGGCTAGGTCCCTTAGTTTTGCACTTCTGTGTTCCAGGAAAGTTCTGTGTTGGCTCATGGACCGTGAATTCATTTCTCCACAGCATGCACATTTCTCTTAAATCAGAAACCGAAGGGGGCCAGCATATGATTTGTAGGCTTCTTCATTAGACCTCCCTATTACTCGAGCTGTATTTAGCATGTCTGCAATGTGTATGAGGCATATGAATTTCACTCGCTTCTCAGTAAATCTCCAACAACGACTCCACCGAGACCTCTAATGATTGTGTCATTTCACTACCCCTACCATATGTTCATTTCTCTATCTTTCTGATTTCTGCTCTAGCTCTAGATAAATCTCAGAAGAAAAAGTGGGCATCATTTTTTTCTAAGTCTTTAAGCATAATCAATGGCTTCTACACAGGCTATATTCTATGGCACTTTCTAGTAATACCAGAGTAGACCAGGAGATGTGACATGGTGTGGAACATCTGGAAGAACAGAGACAGAGAAGCCTTGAACCTCCAATGATGGAGCCCTCTACAGATTTGAGGGCTAGGAAGCCTGAAGTACCCATGTTACTCCTGTGGGAAACAGACATACTGTTATTGTATGTGAGACGTGCTCAGAGTTGAGCATGATGGCTATGAAGAAGTACAACATCGATAGCCACTTCAAAATTTAGTCTGTCTTTTTTATTCAGTTAGAAGACCCACCAGAACTCTGTTCTGTACAAGATCCGCCTGCCTCTTCTGTACACTGTAGTATATTCATCTACAAAGCACAACTGGGCAGTGTGCTAGCAAGAGCAAATGCCACCTCTGCCTCTGCCCAGCAGTGCGTTCTGGAGCAAGTTCATGCCCCTCTATGACCCCTTCATCATCACCGGTAGGGAAAACATCCTTTTCTTCCCCTAGTCAAGTCCCTTCTCATTGCTATTGCTCAGTCTCAGCTTCCTCCACTTCAAACGGGATTAATGATGCCTCTTCACAAGGTTATTATGAGGATGTGATAAGTCAATGGGCAAAGGTACTTTGACAAAATACTCAACGAAATGTTCTTTGAGTGCAAAGAAATCTGGCAAGATCAGCCCTAAGGTTTCTGGTCTCAAGCAAATTAGATGAGATATATAAAGGGAACACTCAATGCAAGCCACTCCTATTTCATTATCCATGTGAAGTTCTCTGATCTGAAAATCTGAAATCCAAAATGTTCCAAGTCTGAAACCTTCTGAGTAGTGACAAATGGAAAATTCTACATATGACCTCATATGGTGGTTTGTAATCAAAACACAGGCACACTTTAAATATATTGTATAACATTACCTTCTGCCTATATGCATAAAGTGTAAATAAAACAAATGAATTTCATTTTTAGACTTGGATTCCATCTCCAAAATAACTCATTATGTCTGTGCAAATGTTTTAAAATCTGCAAAAATATCCCTCCAAAGTTTAATCCAAAACACTGGTGGTCCCAAACATTTTAAATAGGGGATACTCGCACGTTATACCTATATACAGGGTTTGGCCTGGAGTGTTCTTGAAGAATAGAAATAAATTTTCTAGGCTAGCTCTTTAGTTGTGCCAGTATTTTTTTCCTGATTATGCTGTCATTAAAATAAAAATAGAAGGAAAAATTTTAAAAATAAATGAGTCTCATCCCTATGCTTTTATAAATACATAAACTCAGAGAAGAATCTTCAATTTCTGCTCCACACTTACAATTCCTGTCACAGTGACTGTGAAAGTTGTCAGCTTTGACACAGCCTCAGCCCAGCTCAGGGATTTTGAAATCCCACTGTGAACTGCTGATACCAGCCTCAGGCTTGAGCTGGCTCCAGGCACCCCTGTCCCTGCAGCCGAGGAATGTTCCTCACAGGCTGAACAGACCTGCTAAAGTCCATGGTCCCAGATCTCTAGGTGGTGTAGTAATGAATGTGACTCTCTGGGACTGGCACTTCCTTAGGGTCAAATTGAATGATTGCAATCTTTCTCTTGCTACATGGTTCCTGGGAATGTTACTCTTTAGCAACCCCTGGTGGTTGATCCGCAAAAACAGCCAGCGGATGGTCCTGATCTTCAGAGTGGCATGGTTCATCTAACAGCATGGAGTTTGGTATTAGTTACATGTAAGTGTTATTTATTTGCATTTTATTTTAGTAAAATATGTCCTATGTGTTATGGTTCAGATCTGAAACGTTCCCCCCAAAGTCTCATGCTTTCAGAGGGGTGACTGTTTCAGTGTGATTATGTCACGGTCCTGGGGGCACTTGAGTGGATTAAAGGATGCTGAGGTGATGGCTGAATGTGGCCTGTGGCAGTGAGGCCTGGCTGAGGTCTACGTCATGGGGATGTGTCTTTGAAGGTGTAGCTCTCGCCCTGGCTGTTCTCCTCCCTCTGCTTCCTGGCTGCCATGGGTTGAATAGCCTTCTTCACTGGGTGTTTTCACCATGCCATTTCTGCCTTGGAGCCAGTAACCAAACTCGGAAACTTCTAAAACCAACTACCTCCTCCTTTAACCCATGGGAGCCAGATGTTTGTCCCAGGCAGAAAAATTACGAATACAACATTTATCTGATATTTGTCATTGTTATCATTAACTTTATGAATGTGACAGTACATGATGACTTTTGTTTTTATTTTTAGTTTAGACAGAAAAGAGGTGAAAATTAATGTGAAACATATCTGTACTGTGTTAGTCAGCTTTCCATTACTATAATAAGATACCTGGGAGAATTCAGCTAGAAAGAGAAAAGTGACTACGGCTCAGAGTGTTGGATGTTGCTTTGAGCCCGTATGGAGGAAGCATGTCATGTGTAGGTGTAGGATGGAGCAAAACTAGCCATGTTC